TGTGTGTGTGTGTGTGTGTGTGTGTGTGTGTGTGTGTGTGTGTGTGTGTGTGTGAAAAATATATACATAAAGTATTAAACAACATAAACAATTCATTGTCATTCTAGTTACATTCTAGTATGAACTTAAAGCAGTAAGGCATGGAGTAATGAGTTGAAGGCATCCATCAAGCACATTTGTATAAAAAATGGTTAAACAGCAGCGCAGTGTTCTGTGTGGACCGGCTCTTAGCATGACACGTCAAAGCCGTCACTGGATCATGAGAAGCGCATGTGAGGTGTGTGAACTCACTGGCGTGGACCTGTAGGCTGCAGCACCCGCAGGACAGCAGGACGCTGGTGCCGTCGTCACCGATGTGGGAGTTCGACGGCAGGGGCTCGGTGTTTTCAGCTCCTGCGCTGAAGCACATCTCTGGAACCAGCGGACGGGTGCGACAGCAGACCCGGGACACCAGGCCAGACGTGTCCGAGAGGTGGAAGGGGTCCTTAAGAGGCTAAACACACACACAAACACATGAGAGAAGAGAACACGCTAAACCAAAGAGAAATAAACAACGAAATAAAATAACTTCCTGTCTAATCGGGCGGTTTTTGGTCAAAAAAAGCGTCGAAGTGAACCAGATTTTGTGCCGATAGCCAAAAGTCTGATTATGTGAGGCACTTTTAGTGTTTTGATAGTGCCGCACAGTGCATTACCTGTGTGTACGGACAGAAGAGCGTGCAGACAGCGCAGTGCGGCTCGATGGTCGCCATCGCAGCGTTGAACTGTTTCTCGGCCAGGAAGTTTGGCAAGCGGTTCTGCCACAGCGCGCTCTCCTCAGACTTCTTGGCCTCCGGCTGAACTCCGCCACCTACAGGCAGCCCAGAGTACAGCTCTACAGAAACATACAGAGACGACACGCAAGATTCACTCTTCAGAGGAGCTGCACACTACAATAATCACTGTACACAACTTCACCATGAAGATGGATAGAACAATAGATAGAACGATAGAACGATAGATAGATAGATAGAACGACAGATAGATAGATAGATAGATAGATAGATAGATAGAACGACAGAATGACAGATAGATAGAACGATAGAATGATAGAGCAACAGAACGACAGAATGATAGAACAATAGAACGATAGATAGATAGATAGAACGACAGAATGACAGATAGATAGAACGATAGAGCGACAGAACGATAGAATGATAGAACGATAGGTCGAAAGATCGAATGATCAAACAATAGATAGATAGATGATAGATAGATGGATAGATGGATAGATAGAATGACAGAATGAGATAAAATGATAGAATGATAGAGCGACAGAACGATAGAACGATAGATAGATAGATAGATAGATAGATAGATAGAACGACAGAATGACAGATAGAACGGTAGAGCGACAGAACGATAGAATGATAGAACGATAGAACGATAGATAGATAGATAGAACGATAGAGCGACAGAACGATAGAATGATAGAATGATAGAACGATAGAACGATAGATAGAGAGAACGACAGAATGACAGATAGATAGAACGATAGAGCGACAGAACGATAGAATGATAGAACGATAGATAGATAGATAGATAGATAGAATGACAGAATGACAGATAGATAGAACTTTGGGTGAAATTAAATGCTTTTTAATTTGGAATATAGAAAACTATTAATTATTTTAGATAGATAGATAGATAGATAGATAGATAGATAGATAGATAGATAGATAGAACGAGCTAGATAGAACGATAGATAGAACGATAGATAGACAGACAGACAGATAGATAGATAGATAGATAGAGAGAACGACAGAACAATAGATAGATAGATAGAGATAGATAGATAGATAGAACGACAGAATGACAGATAGATAGAACGATAAATAGATAGATGGCTAGAACGATAGAGCGACAGAATTATAGAACAATAGATAGATAGATATAGATATTTAGATGGCTAGACAGACAGACGCAACAATAACTAAAGTGTGCAGAAGCTAAATAAGAAGAATTTTAATATGATTCTCCCTCATAAGCACTAAAAATACACATTTTTTTAGAGGTAAATAAATCATATAGAAGGCTATATAATGTGGCTCAGTATGAGTGTTGTCCTCCTCCTCTGAGCCGTGACTCTACAGACGCTACAGTGACAGCAGGCGGTGCGGGTTTACAGCTGTCTGTCTGTTCATAACACAGCACAGACAAAACAATAACCGTCTTTCAGCCGCCCCGTCTTATAAAGAGCTGATTGTTTGTGGCTGCTTTCTTTCATACTTTATTGCACACTTTCACAAACAAACAAACACAAAACAACATCTCGCCATCAAACCAGAACACTCTGAAATAAAATGAAATGTTCTAAAAACATTCATATTGTAAAAACATATCTAACTTTTAACAACTTTTTCCTCAGCCATCAGACATTTATCTAGGGTGCCAAGTTTCTTCTGTTCTCCTGAACTACATGCGACAACAAAATCGGAATATTTCTCGCAGTACCCCATGAAAAAAAAAAAATACAACATTGCCGTTTTCAAAGAATGACAGAAATGCCGTAATTATATTGTAAGTAATTTAATAACATGCATTGTCATAAATTGAGCCTCATTTGAGAAACAGGAATAAACCAAATTTGTGTGTAAATCATTTGTAAAAACTTTCTTGCATAAATTTTTCACTAATAATTTCAACAATAAAAAAAATGCATATTCATTTACATACTTCTACGAAGTCATAACGAAGTTCATTTATGAAACGCAAGCAAATGAAATATCTCTTATTTAAATGTGAAAATTTAGTCGAGATGTTTTTCACAAGCAATTCTATGAACATCATTCGATTTTATGATTTTACAATTTTATTGTTTACGTAAGAACCAAACGTACAGATAATTTTACCATTTTAAGAATTGTCATTTATGAAACTTGCAAAACAAAATTTGGGTAATTTTTCTGTAAAACTATTCTAACGCAAATTCAACAATTTCTGAAAGAATGGTTTTACGAACGTCATTCGATTTTTTTATGGACATTTTTTATGGACAAAAAAACACACAAGCAACACATGTAATTCAAGAATATCTTTACGAACAATTTAACGATTTTATGTCCGTCGTTGCGAACGCAATCTATGAAAGAGGAGCAACACAAATTCAGGTAAACCTTTCGTTAAGTTATTTTCACTTAAACTGCCAGATTCAATTTACTCACATTTTACGTAATGTTGTACAAACAACCTTAAGGACATCATTTGATTTTTTGTACATTATTTTATATGTCATTTTTGAAACATTAGAAAAACAAGTTTCTGTGCATGCAAGAACGGCTTCATAAATTTACGTTTAAAGAAGGTCATCACAGTGAAACCTGCGCTCTGAACACTGCTGGGCGGTGCGGCGCGCCATATATTTTCGGCCAAAAACCAAAATGCCATTTTTGGCCGATAATTTCCGGTGCATCCCAAAAGATTGGTTTAAGAAACGTCATTTGACTTTACAGACATTATGAACTGCATCAAAAAAAAAAAAGGAACAATACATGTCATTTAACGATAGCTTTACGAACAGCCTTAAGAACATCATTTGATTTTTTTGTACGTTATTTTGAATGTAATTTTTGAAATGTGAGAAAAATTAGTTTCTGTGCATGCAAGAATGTCTTCATAGACTTACATACACTTAAATTTACATACATTATCTGATTTTAAGAACGTCGTTACGAACATTTCTGCATTAACCCTTTGACGCGTACGATCGCACCGGTGTGATTAGAACACGTTTAAACTACCAAATATATTTAGTTACAATTATTTGAGAATCGGAATATCAGATAATTCATAATATAGTTAACACATTTGTGATTTTTTTTTTTTATAAAAAGGAAAAATTAAATAAAAGCAATACATCACTCATACACAGCTATTGTAGTTGTGGTGTGTCACGTGACAAGCATGACCACCGTCACCATGGAAACGATAAGGCGATACATTCTAATATAAGGTCGTTGAAAAAAACTCACGCTCGGTGGGTTCGTGAAAAGGTCAAATGGTTTTACAAACATTTGATTTTTCATGGATATTACTACAAATTGCATTTAAAGCACACGTAAAACAAGTAAATTAACAATAGCTTAATGAACAATTAAAATATATAATTACGAACAACCTTCCGAACAATTTGATTTTTTATCATTATTTAAAATGTCATTTTTGAAACATGACAAAAACGAGTCTTGATGCATGCAAGAATGGCTTTATGAACAATTTTACATCATTACGAAATTAATTTGAAACATAAAACAAATTCATGGAAATCTTTCGTAAATCTGTTCTAGCGTAAAATGTTGCACTGAAACTTTAAGTGAAAATTAATGTTTTTGAAGAACAATTCACACAGGAATCTGCTTGCGTTTCATGCATGAGGCCCAAAATGTTAATAGTAAAAAAAACAAATTTTCGGAATTTTATACTGAAAGTATATTGCGCTTAACGTTCATCGTTAATGATATCATGAAAGCAGTACTTACCCTCATCGCTGGAGGCTTCCTGTTTGACTATGGAGTGAGGAGAGCGCATGGGTGGCTTGCTAAACGGATGTCTTCGGCTCTTCTTCACCTCAACTTTCTTCTTCAGTTTCATGAAAGGATTCGGCTGAGAACAAAAACATTTAACGATAATTTACCTCAACGTTTAAAATCCTAAAAACCCTTTGGGACCAGAGAAGCTGCTCACCTGCAGGCCGGGAGCGTCTCCATTACTCTGGTCCTGAATGTCGCTGGAAGCGAACTGCTCAAACACCTGCTGGAAGGAGAGATCGTCGAGATGCTTCGGCTTCTTCTTTTTCTTCTTCTTCTTCTCCTCTCCGTTTTCCGGTGGAGGATCCTGAGATTCTGTTTTTCCATCTTCACCTGCAAAGGCAGTTGCTAGGGTGTTACTATGTGGTTGCTAGGGTTTATGGGGTGGATGCTATATGCTAAAAGTTTGCTTGCATCACCTTCTCCACGGAGTGCTGCTTCCGCCTGCTCCTGCTCCTCCCTCTCCAGCGCCTCCAGCGTGAGGAGCGCCTCCCGCGCCATGCGCTCGTCCTTCTGCTGCCGCCGCTGCTGTTCGCGCTCCTCCACCTTGAGCAGGTACTCGCTCATGTCCAGCTCCACTCCCTCCTCCGCCAGAACCTTCACCTCCTCCAGCTTCAGACGGCGGAACTGTTTTACCTTCGCCTGAGCCCTACGACAAACAACGCAAATGGATAACGAACTTATATCAATGCAAACGTTTCCCATTTAATAGTTCTCATTTATTACGATTCAAAGAGTAAACATCAAAGGCCAATAAAAACCTAGTGAACTTTTATTTCAAACAAAGCAATTTCCCACTTGATAGTTTTTATTTATTACAATTCGAACGATAAAGGTCAAAAGTCACCAAAAACTTCACATAAGCACGCCAAAAAAAGCAACATATAACGAGCTTTTGTTTCAAACAAAACATTTTTCCACTTGATAGTTTTTATTACGAATCAAATAAAAAAACTCATAGGTCAATAAAATCTTTACCTAGACTGCTAAAAACAACGCAAATGGATAACGAACTTATTTCAACGCAAACTTTTCGCATTTAATAGTTCTAATTTATTACGATTCAAAGAGTAAACATCAAAGGTCAATAAAAACCTAGTGAACTTTCATTTCAAACAAAGCAATTTCCCACTTGATAGTTTTTATTTATTACAATTCGAACGATAAAGGTCAAAAGTCACCAAAAACTTCGCATAAGTACTCCAAAAAAACAACAACAACGGATAACAAGCTTTTATTTCAAACACAAAATTTTTCCACTTGATAGTTTTTATTACGAATCAAACAGAAAAGCTCAAAGGTCAATAAAATCTTCACCTAAACTCTACAAAAAAAACAACGCAAATGGATAACGAATGTATTTCAACCCAAACGTTTCCAACTTGATAGCTTTCATTTATTATGAGTCGAAAAGTAAAGGTCAAAGGTCAATAAAATCTTCACCTAGACTGCTAAAAACAACGCAAATGGATAACGAACTTATTTTAACGCAAACGTTTCGCATTTAATAGTTCTAATTTATTATGATTCAAAGAGTAAACAACAAAGGTCAATAAAAACCTAGTGAACTTTCATTTCAAACAAAACAATTTCCCACTTGATAGTTTTTATTACGAATCAAACAGAAAAGCTCAAAGGTCAATAAAATCTTCACCTAAACTCTACAAAAAAATAACGCAAATTAATTTATTTCAACCTAAACGTTTTTTGCTTGATAGTTTTTATTGATGACGATTCGAACAGTGAAGGACAAAGTTACAAAAAACCTTATAAATAAAAACCTTTGCCTGAGCTCTACGACAAATACCACAAACGAATAACTTTTTTTCAACCCAAAAGTTTTCCGACTTGATAACATTTTGTTTATTAAGATCCTAACAATAAAGGTCATTTCACGACCATGGTAAATTTTCGCAGAGAGATCGTTAAAACAATGCATTTAGCACACTTATTTTGATCAGTAAAAAAAATAAAAACACAAATACAATTATTTTTAATTACAACAGCTTCACTATTATTATATCTAACCATGAACGTCATAACGTGACATTCCTACATCACGCTATCGCATCTTTTTACTATTATCATTCCATAAATTATTTTTATCAATTTAACAATGTATTGTGTTTAGCATTAAAAGCACATAATATATTCAGTACTTACACAGATTTTCACAGTCACACATCGTTAAAACGAAACAATGAGTTTGTGCAAAGCATGTTTTTTTTTTTGTTCAGGGGACTGATGAAAATTAGTTTCTAAAATCAACGATAAAGGCCAACTAACAGATTTTTGTTGCAAAAAAAAAAAAAAATGAAAGATTGAAAATTTTCGGCACCTGCGCAGGAGTTTCTCTCTGTACGTGACCCTGGTTTTCTTCCAGTGCTCCAGCTCGGGGCTGCTGAGGCTCGTGGGTTTGAGGTGGTCCAGGAGCGTGTTGTCTTTCCCCTGCTTCCACAGATCGTAGCGGTCGGGCTGCAGGCAGCGAACGAAGACGTCCATGGAGATCTTCACCATGTCCTTACGGCACGTGCACTGCAGAAGACAAACGGGAACCAACAACTCTAAATAAACAAAGTCCACGACTGTAAAACAGTTCTAATATGTGACACAATCACGGCCAGTCAAAATGAATTTAAAGTTTAGTACACAGCTATGTGGAGATATATTTTGGACCAATGAGATTCCATGTTGCGCGGGGCTAATCAGCACAAATATATATATATATATTCATTTAAATGCATTAATTAATTGAATGTATAAATGTATTAATTTCTTATTAATTTATATTACTTTATATTCTTTTAATTCAGTTTAAATATGCAGTTATTTATTTATTTATGCATTTTTTTTAAAAGTGATTTTATTTTTGGCCTTCAGTTTTGAGATTAAATAATATTATAGAGTAATATGAATAAAAATGCTAATTTATATACAATTTATTAAATATGAACAAATAATAATACACATTAATTAATATAAAATTAATACATTAAAAATAACAAGCTATTACTAAATATAATGTAGAAACTTTAATTTTCTGTAAAGCTGCTTTGCAATGATTTGCATCGTGAAAAGCGCTATACAAATAAACTTGAATCGAATAATACTATAAAAATAAAAAATAAATAAATGTAACAAAATATTAATTATATTTCAACTAAAAGAATAATATAAGTTAAAAATAAAATTAATAAATTACTATACATTAATACATACATTTAAATAAATAAAACTTAAATGTAAATTATTTAAATACACAAAAAAATTAAGATGCAAAGAGAAGATTAAAATTAAATTTGAAGTAGAATACTACTTCAGAATACTACTTAATTCACCTTAAAAACTACAAAAATATTGGGGTTCAAACTGATGCAATTGTATAAAAGATGAGAATCAAATGAACTGCATCATGGGAGTCGTGTCTGAAACAACAATTGAGAGGAAAATGAAGGCGATGGAGACGAGATGTGATGATTAGATGAAATAAGTCTTCATGCAGGTGCGCAGACGCAAGATTATTAAATCATCAGCGCCGACAACTGTGACACGGGCTTTTAATTGCATTGAGTTTGCATGGCGTGGATCGAAGTGAAAAGCGCACAAATCAACATCTCTCAATCAACAGCGAGAGAGAGAGAGAGAGAGACGGAGGAAATAAAAGTCATTTTCCTGCGAGCTGCACTCGGCTGTATTACATCGGGCCGCTATTTCCAGCGCCGCGCCGGAGCTGCTGTTCAATTACCAGAAACATTCTGCAGCTGAAGTGAAGACAAACACTGTGTGTGTGTGTGTGTGTGTGTGTCAGGGCATAATAACGGCAACAAGCGCTATTCTTCACTCCGAAATGTCAATGTCTCACAGCGTAACTCCAGGGCTTTGCCATATTATGCTCAGAAATGCATTTCCAGCCCGACTGGAAGGATCAGACTCCACCTAGAAAACAAGCAGTGCTGAGGAGAAGAACCAACCTAAACTAAAAGTACAATCATGCTGCGAACATTTTTCAGGAGCGTAACTGGGACTCAGCTGTTTCCAAAATACTGCAGGTTTTACAAGCTACATTTCCTTAACGAAAATTGTGACAATAGGGAGATCAATATTTTTTAAAGAGTAAAAATAAATAAAAAATAAAAGGAAATGCATGTATTGTGATTATTTTAAACTACAACAATAAAAAATTAAAAACCATATAAAAAAAGTGTCACTGTGTGCATAAAGTAATATATAAATAATAGCAACTAAAATATATAAAACTATTTAAATGAAATACAATTTTAAATGTAAAAAATAAATACATTTTTAAACAACTCCAGTTGCAAAGTATTTAAATTAAATTTGTAGTGGAATACTTAAATAATGAAAAAAATATATATTTTGCAATTCCAATACATATGCAATATATATTGGCAATGTATATTCTACAAAATATCTGCAAAAAAAAATGAGGCACTATTTTATGTTTTTGAAAGAAGTAGGTTTTTAGCCAATTTGCACAAACATCCGAATAACATTTATTTATTTATTTATTTTGTTATTGAAATCTTCCACTTCAAATTTACATTAAATCTGCTCTTAGCAACTTTCAAAGAAATATAACAATTAACATTTCAATTGTATTTTATTTAAATATATATATTAATGTATAGTATAGTATTTTTTTTTTATACATTTTTTGAAAGAAGTCTCTTCTTGCTCACCACTTCTGCTTTAATTTGATAAAAAATTACAGTAAAAATTTTAATATTTTGAAATATCATTACAGTTTAAAATAATAACTTTCTATGTGAACATATGGTAAAATGTAATTTATTCCTGTGATGCAATGCTGAATTTATTAGGATTCTTTGATAAATAGAAAATAAAATTAAAAAACTGCATTAATTTTAAATGGAAATCTTTTGTAAGATTATAAATGTCTTTATTTTAGCTTTTGATCAATTTGATGCATCCCTGCAGAAAATAAATTACATTATACAAATTTAAAATGAAACAAAAAAAAAAGAAAGAAAGAAAGAAAAAAAAAGAATTTAAGATGAAGCGAGTATAAAAGTTTTTACACTTTAAAAAAAAAGTTGGAAAAAAAAAAAGACGACAAAGAAAAACCTATTATACTGACACTGAACTCTCCGGGATCAATCTCTTTTATTGTTGTATTTCTCACTGCTGAGCCAATAAATGGAAATAGAGGACACAATCACAGGCCTCTGAAGACAACAGAGCATCTGAGATGAACATGTTAATAACGCTGTAAACTCATCCCGTCTCTCTTTCTAGACCAGGTCTGGCCATTACACGAGCCGTTCAGGTGGATTATAACCCGTTTCTCTGAGATCTCACAACACGATAGAAAACTGAGCAACACTGTGAATATCACAATGATTTTAATGCGATTTTCTCTCCGATTCAAGGATTCATTCACAGCACCATTAAAAAAATGTTCATTTTTCATGCATAAAAATGTATAATGTAAATATATATGTGTGGACGACAAAAACAAATGTACGCAACACTATTCTGTCTTTTGATTAGTTCGTTTGTCCTTTCGTTCTTTTTATTTTTGTCCTTTTAGTTTGTCCTTTTCATTTGTTTTTTGTCGTTGGTTCTTTCCTTCCAATCTTTTTGTTTGTTCTTTTTCTTTATTTTCATTTGTCCTTTCTTTATGTTTGTTCTTTTAGTTTTTTCTTTTTATTTGTCCTTTCTGTTTGTTCTGTTTCTTTTTGCTTTTTTCTATTGTTTGTTTGTTCTTTTTATACTTTCTGTTTGTTCTTTTTCTTTCTTTTCATTTGTCCTTTCTTTTTGTTCTTTTAGTTTGTTTGTTTTCTTTTCGACTGTTCATTCTTTTCATTTGTTCTTTCTGATTGTTCTTTTTGTTCTATTTTTTTTTCTTTTCGTTTATTCTTTCGGTCTGTTCTTTTTCTTTCTATTAATTTGTTCTTTCTGTTCTTTTTCTTTCTTTTTGTTCTTTTCATTTTTTTCTCTTCGTTTGTCCTTTCGTTTGTTTATCTTTTCATTAAAGTGTGACTAAGTATCATTCTGTAATAGGCCAGAAATCAGTCTTATTTCATGAATGTGCAGGTTTAGGGCTCTGAGTAATGAAGATACGCCTGTAGAAGATATAATAATGAGAGGACTGTTGAGCGACACGAGAGAGATTCAATCTGAAGATCCGCTCATGTGCTTTAATTAGCCGCGCGTCACTAATCACTGCAGATCACCAGCCGCGCGGCTCACGTGTGACGAGAACCTCTAAATGCCAACACGATCGGGAAAAACCACCCACGTGTGCGTGTGATATAAGAGAGAGAGAGAGAGAAACGAAAAGAAACGCAAACGAAAAGAACAAACAAAGAGAAAGGAAAAATGAAAAGGACAAGTGAAAACAAACGAGAAGAAAGAACAAAAGAGAAGAGGAAAAAAACCCCCGAAAAAGGACAAACGAAAAGAAAAAAATGAAAAGGACAAATGAAGAGAAACAAAAAAGAAAAGGACAAAAGAAAAAAACAAACGAAAAGAAAGAACAAACTAAAAGGACAAATGAAAAGAAAGAAAAAGAGCAAACAGAAAGAATAAAAAGAAAGAACAAATAAAAAGAAAAACAAATGAAAAGGGCAAACAAAAAAAACAAAGAAAAAGAAAGAAAAAGAACAAACAGAAAGAATAAAAAGAGAAAAAACTAAAAGAACGAAAAGGACAAACAAAATGAAACAAAAAGAACAAACAATGAGATTGTAAAAAAAGAGAACCAACTAAAAGAAACAAAAAAAACAAATGAAAAGAAAGAAAAAGAACAAAGTGAACGAATAAAAAGAGAGCAAACTAAAAGAAAAACAAACTAAAAGAACAAAAAGAAAGAACAAACAAAAATAAAGGACAAATAAAAATTAAAAAAAACAAACTAAAAGAACAAAAAGAAAGAACAAACAAAAAGAAAAAAAAGAACAAACAAAAAGATTGTAAAGAAAGAACCAACGAAGACAAAAAAAAACAAACTACAAGAACAGAGAAAGGACAAACAAAAATAAAAAGAAATGACAAACTAATGAAAAGACAGAACACATGAGCACATGAGGACAAATGAAAAGAACAAACAAGAAAGAAAGAAACAAATGGAAGTCTGAAAGGATGTGAAAGACATGAAAGAAACTGAAAACTGCAAAAGAATAAACAAATAAGCAAAGGAACGAATGAACGAATTAAAGACGAAATGAAAATTATTTTAAGAATTGACAAAATAATACAAATGTAAACGAGACCGAATGAACGAACAAACTGAATCAGGAGCGAAGCAGCAAGAACGAAAGAAAGAATGAATGAATGAATGCAAAAGAATGGCCGGATGAAGCGGAAGGAGGAGTGTGAATGGACTGTGAGGTGCTCCTGTTTCACGTGTTGTTGTGCGTCACTCCCGTTACAATTCTCGCGTGTTTTCCTGACAAACGTGGTTTGTAGAGTCATTGGGTGACAGAGTTGTTGTCAGCTCGTGTGGTGTAACTCCCGGTTGCAGATAATTTACATAGAGTCACGTAGTGTGAACAACACAACGACTTAAAGACAGACAATCAAGTCATGTAGTCTGAACAGCACAGCGATCTGCCGACGTTTAAAGTCGTGTAGTGTGAACTTAGCCTTAAGGCTTGTTCACAGCGGGACGAATATCGCGGGCGATTATCGCCGATGTTTAACGCCTCATGACTAAACAAAGGGCGCCAATGTGAGCGTGCACACTGCGCAAAACGTGAGGCGTGAAAGCGTAATTTTTTTAAAGTCCCCCTGTAGTCAAATATTTTATCCCTTAAAACTTATCTTTGATCATCAAAATGACATATTTAAATGTTTTTTCTTGTGAAAATAATTTTATCATGCCTTAAAATTGCTTGAATGTAACTCTACACCCTTGCCTCATTTACTATACGCGGATCTATGAATATGCAAATTAGTCCCGCCTCCACTCAGTCACACACCAGCCAGCGCCTCCTGATCCACTGAACTGTAGTAACCGCAAAACAATGGTATACACGGATAATGACTGATAAAACTATGTTTTTACTAGCGGACAACTACAGTGAATACTGTAACATTCGTTAAAGTTACTTACTTGATGATGTTGTGTTCTAAAATGCCTTGAAGACTCGAATGCAGCCGTCTGTGATGGTTAATTCGCGCCCGCGAGCATAACGTGTGAAGTGCAGACGCCGCTGCGGGAGAGGTGCGTCTGACTCCGTTCATCGCCAGCGAAAATCGCTTGGGTATGAACACAAAAGACGCGTGGAAAAACGTTGGCGATAAGCACTCGCGATAATCGTCCTGGTGTGTACGAGGCTTTACGCTCACCTGCGTGGCCATCTTGCCGTAGTCGATCCAGCGCAGGGTTGCGAAGTTCGTGGACTCGGCGCAGTTGAAGCCATGGTTGAATCCGGCGTGATATCCGTACGGAAACGTGATCATGAACTCGCCCTCCTCCTGCGTGATCTGCGGAAGAAAGACAACAATGACAAAATCATCACGACGAGGTCCACGCGCAAAATCTCTGAAACTGTTTCACGTTACCTGCGCTGATTGTGGCATGGAATCTCGCAATTACACAAAATTAATTTAATACAGTAAACTACACTGAACTGGGAGAATTAGATTCGGGGAACTGGAAAAAGTACAGCGCTTTATAGCGAATAAATTGCATGAGAAAGAATGTGAAAAAAAAAAAGAAACGAAAGAAACAACTTATTTTTATTAGCTATTTAAATAAATTAATAATTTTAAAAAAAGTCAAACGAAATACAAATAAAGACTGTTTTAATTCAGTTTAATTTAAAAGTAATGATGCACTAAAACAAAAAAATCAAATGTTTTTGACTTAAATTAACACCAAATAAAGAAAATGGATGTGAACGAATGATGAACAAAATGAAAGAAACTAGTTTTATTATTATCATTTTTATTATTTAATTAATAAATTAATGATTGAAATTAATAGGTCAACTAAGATAATTAAATTAACTTTTAAATCAAATTTAGATTCTTATGCCGATGTCGTGGGACTGTAAAAAGTACAGCGTTTTATAGCGAACAAATTGCTAAAATAGTATACGCAAAAAAGCAAGAGAAAAAATGTGAAAGAACGAAATAATGAAAAATGAATTATGTGAAGAATTGATAAATAAACAAAAAAAGGAACAAAAGGAACAAACAATTTATTACTTTTATTAGCTTTTTAATTAATGAATAATTTAAAAAAATGAAAATACAAATTAATACTTTTAAATTAAATTGAATTAAAACAAAAAGTCAGGTACTAAACAAACAGTCAAATGAAATACAAATTAACACAAATTAAAGAAAATTGATGTGAACCAATGAATAAACAAAGGAACAAAGTACTTTTATTATTATAATTGTTATTATTTAATTAATAAATTAGCAATTAATAAATTAGCAATTAAAAAATTAAGAGGACAACTAACATAATAAAACTGACTTAAATTAAAATTTGTTTAATTAAAAAGTGAGGTATTAACTTTAAAAAGTGCAGCGTTTTATCATGAAAAAATACGCAAAAACAAGATTAATAATTAATAATAAAACAATTAATAATATGAAACAACAAACAAACTAAAGAAAAATTATGAATGAGCAAAAAAAAAGAAATGAAACAACCTATTTCTTGTTACTTTTCTTACATTTTATTTTTAATTAACTAAAATACAAGTAATTACAAATTAGTTAAAAAGTCAACAAAATTAAAAATAAAAAACACAAAAGCAAGAGAAATAATTACAAATAGTAAAGAACAAATAACGAATTTAAGAAAATGATGAATGGACAAAATATAAACAAAACAAACAACCTATTTCTTTTGTTGCTTTCATTACATTTAAGTTTAATTAATAAACGAATGATTCAAAAAATAAAGTCAACTAAAAAAAATATATAAATACCTGCACAAAAGCAAGAGAAAGAAATAAGAATGTGAAAGAACAAAATGAAGGAATTAAAGAAAAATGATGAACAAATTAATGAACAAAAGTAACAAATGTGTAAAAAGTATAATAAATAATGAATAAATTGAATTAAAATAAAAAAGTCAAGTATCATTGGTTAGGGTTGCAAAGGGGTGGAAAATTTCCGGTAAATTTCCGGAAACTTTCCAAAAATCCCTGGAATATTAAAAAAGAAAATCCTGGAAAGTTTCCAAAATTTCTGGAATATTTCCGAAATTTACTAGAAACTTTCCACCTTTTTGCAACCCTAATCATGGTGTAAATTTACATTAAAAAAAAATCTGATTGCACAAATATTATATATATAAATGAAGGCAAGTGTCTTTGCGAATAACTGGAGTTTGAATGTCAGTATCTGCAGCACTTTATTGTCAATTCTGCTCATGTGCTAATAATCATGAAGCCCTCGGCTCATTGGGACGCATGTGTCTCTGAAGATGGAAGTGCTGGACGTTTAATTTTTTCCCAGCTATTGCTCCGTTACCCCACATTTTATTAATTTCACTGAGCTCTACAGTAATCTGGGCGAAGGCAACACTGAACTGTACTTTGATGAAAGAGCCAATAACCGCTGAATTAAGCTGCAAACGACACTTTAGAGGGAGAAAAAGCCGTCGCGGGAAAATCAGCCGAGACTGAGAAACACGGCGGCTTCCAGCGCTAATATCTGTAGCCATTAGCGGCTGATGGGAAAATAAATTTGCTGTGAGAAATCGTCAGCCTCCCCTCTCGTTTTCTCCATACATTCATCGTCTCTTCCTCGGCTGCCAGCGGCCAGAATAAACGCTGGAAAGATATTTCAGACGCTACGAGGTGCTAAGCATGGCAGAGAGTTAGCCGGCCTTAGCTAATGAATATTTTCATTTCACTCCGTTTTCTTGCTTTGCGATCGGTGGAGTCACGCTTCAGCGTCATGCTGGCGTCCATTAGAAAGAAAGTCAGATTCATTAATGCCGTTCGGAGACATATTTCACTGCTACGTGTCTGGTGTTTTCATAGAATTGGCCCTAGGGTGTGTTCGCACACTTAACGAAGTTAGATTATGAGTTGGGTTACTACAAAAAGTACTGCTTTCTGTTATTACAAAAAAATGATAGAATTTCATATATGAGACGAGAAAACAACTAACGAACAAAAAATGTCAACGAAAATCAACATGAAAAACAGTGTAATAAAATATGACAATAAAAATAATTTTCATTTGAAGTGAAAGGAAAAAAGTAAACTAAAATAATAAAATTAATTTTGAAAAAAAAAAATGTACTTTTAATTTAAAAATAACGTCAGGTATTACGGTGTACATTACAGTAAAAAAATCTGATTGCGAAAAAATTATATATACAAAGTTTAATACACAGCGAATAACTAGCATTTGTATTTTGCAGAAATGTATATAAAGGTATTACTCATTTTAAATGAAATAATTTTAACTGATTTGAAAGAAAGTTAATTAACTTTTAAGATAAAATTAAATTGTAATAAAGCAATAAAGTCCAAATTTATGGTGTAAATTTGCATTACAATAAAAAAATGTGATTATATACACAACATATTTAATAAAACAAGTGAATTTTGCAGAAATGTATATGAAAATATTATTAATTTTAACTGAATTGAAAGAAAGAATAAGTCATCTAAATTAATAAAAATTACTTAAAATAAAATGTATTTTTAATTTAAAAATAAAGTCAGGTATTATGGTATAAATTCGAATTACAAAAAACAAAATCGGATCTAAAAATATTATAAATAAAAAAAATACTTTAATAAAAATACAAGTGACCTAGTGAATAGCTGCATTTGAATTTTGCAGAAATGTATATAAAAGTATTATTTTATTTTAAATAAAATACAATTATTAATAACATTTAAAATAAATAAAAACATAACTAATTTAAATTAAAAAGTAAACTTAAACTTACAATAATACATTTACATTTTATTAATTCTTTTAAATGTACTTTTATTTTTAAGGCCCCCCCCCACCCCACCCAAATATTAAATGCA